AGTTTGCTCGTTGAGTAGTTCCTTCCTGCGCCCCTTTCTCTCCTTCCATCAGTTTTCAGCGTATGTTCACGGGAGATTATATTGTCTATCATTGCTCACCAACTTGGAGGACTGATTTTGTATATTGATAGCAAATTAGGTCGAGAAATTGCTCCTGGGTATTTCATAGATAACTTTTTAATTTTTCTACATGTGTTAATCTCGCTTCATTCATGCTTACACTTCCCTTAACCACGATTTTCTCATCATCTCCATTTCCTCCTTTGTTCAACGACTTGCCTTTCACTATATTCTCCATTGATTTTCAATGTATTTTTTAACCCTAAATTACGACTTGATAACTGTCAAAACTTCTTGGGGTGGGTGCTAAGTGTGCATTCAGAGTGATATAAGCATTTGCTGTAAACTCCGCCATCATCGTTCGAAATCACTTGCGTTAAAGTGCGGTGATATTGTCATAACTTACAAGTGATTGCCATTATCTAGTTATACTGATCGAAATTACATCCTAACACTAATCCTAACCAGAGCCTTCTTTAAGCTGCCTTGGTTCACATAATTGCTGTGGTTGCTAGGTGGCACAACTTTTATCAAGAAGCAGGGTTTCAATGAGTTTTGTTTGTATTACTTAAATGTGGTGGACGTATCAGAATTGAGGATGATTTTTTGTTTCAGGTGCAAATGCTCATCTGAGTTTACATTTTATTGCGTCGCAACAAACGAAGTGGAGGACGGCTACATTTATTCTGAATTTTACCGAAAACCTGGAAAGCAGTACTCTTCTCGAATTGTTTCGCGCACTATTTCAATGGAGCCCTTCGTTGGACAGGAGCAGAGTATGTCCTTCCTCTTTCATGTATTCACTGAAGTTGATGCTCGTTGTATATTCCCTCCCAGATGACGGCAGAAACTTTTTGATGTTTCTGACCTGTTAGCCTACGAGCACCATGCTCATTTTCAGCGATGATTGCTACTGCTTATCGTATCATCGCATCAGGTAGTGTACAATGAGTCTGTAACAGAGTCAACCCTGCGTTGCGCAGTTCGCAACGGCACGTTGAGAGATCCTCAACGCACGCTGTATGGGCGGAGACACAGACGGCTCGAGCATGCGAGTGTGAATGTTCGCGCGAGAGAACGTGTCTAATCGGGCGAAACTGCGCAACGTGGCCGTTGAGAACTGCGCAACGCAGGGTTGACTCTGGTCTGTAAGTTACTTGATGGCGTCAGCAACTACTGGACGTAAGTGTAGATGCAAAAGTCCTGAGGCATAAAATTGAACAGATTGTTATTTGTTTACAACCAGTGTTGGACTGCTGTTGTCACCTGGTTCTAGAGCACAATCGGTGATACTACGCAGAGATTATGAGCAGGCCACCATGCAGTTTTCTGGTGAACTACGCCATTGTTCCTGGATGCCAATTTGACACTTGCATTGCCAAAAGCAGTGCCGCGAATCCGGCGCACGCTCAAATGTCTCCAGTATTAGCGCTGGATTCAGAGAGATCCCATGTTAGCTATGCGACCGCCACTTGGTCCAAGGCTGGAGATACCAAGGCTCGCCGACAACCTCAGCTCCGGAAGGCCGTCTATCACCAGTGTGGACTGTTTTCCCAATGAAGCTAAGAACCTTTGGAATTTTTATCACAAGGCAGCTGGCGGAGTCGCCTTGACTGCGACGGATCCAACATCGTTCGACATCTCCATGAACACAACGTCAGGGAACTTTCTGCTCAGTTTTTACGACGCCAAGTGATCGACCAACTTTCGTCACATATCTGTATCGTGTGCCAGTTTTTACTCCAGACCTCTAAAGTTTCAAGAAGACCCGATGAAGGGGATTGAGAGCTGAATCTTCACAGTAACTATGAGAGGGTATTCACCTTACTCTCGCGAGGCAGCTCTATCCGCGCATCTGCAAGCGCACGGCACCCTAGGAAGATTCTGTCGCGCTGCTTGGAATTGGAAGGGGATGCCTCAAAGCGACCTATCACCGCGAAAGCGGGGCCGCTACCAGACAGCGCAAAGCGTCAGAGCGGGTTTCCTTGCGATCAGGGAAAAGTTGTCGGAAATTTCATGTTCCATGACGGCACCCCTCACGTCACGTCGTTCAAAGTGCAAAAATTCGACTGGAGTGCTGTTCCCTATATGCCTGCTTTCCTGACCTCACTCCTTCCGACTCATCTGCTTAAGCGTCTCGAACAGTTGTTCTGTGCAGAGGAAGAGTTCGCTGATTTTGGTGAAGTCAAAATCACCATTGTTTTCTCTGATCCACAACCTTCTTCCTCCTGGGCGAGGAGTAATTGGTGATTTGCCCGTTGGTTGGACCAATGTCAGATCAATAGTGACGGTGTATATACCGTTAATTGAATCAGGCTGTTCATAAAATTAAGAATTTAAAACATGAATCTGAATGTTTCCAGACTTTTGCATCAACCTGACCTGCAACCTTTCTATTTGTCGAAGAGTTGCTTTAGTGGCAGTTTTTACGAATCATCTAGGTAATGAATAAAATCGTGCCCCTGCACATGCGTGTAAACAGAAAAAAGACAAACGCCAATGGTTGCGGCCTTGTTGACACAACCCATGATTCAAATCGAGAAGAGCGACACATCAGTGCATTTTTAGTGCAAGCACGCTTTTGTTACTATCATTTATTCGGTGTACATGTAACAAGGGACAATGGCTATATCTAATCCTAAAAATTCCGCCTCGGACATCTTTTTTCTTTGAGAGTTTGGACATTATTAAGGATGCGAAAGCTGTCGTAATGGAGAATTGGAGAATTTGCGAGAGATCATGGCGAGCATGAATACGTCTGCTCTGGAAAGACCGCCTGAACCTCCAGGTCTGTTTCACATCTATACAAGTCAAGAGTTTAACGCCCATATTTTTTCAAAAATGTTGTGATGTCAGAGGCTGATTATCATGACGAACTGCTAGTCGCTGCGGATAAAGTAGCCTTAATAATTAGCAACTGCATGTACCAACACCTACCAAAGCTAGTTACTCCGCTTTGCGATGCCGAGACATTAGCAACTGCCTTGCAGGTATGTAATTACAACTAGTGTTAGTTTATGCAGGATGTCGATTCTCTGTTAAAAGTGCAATGACGTACAATTTCAGGATCTGAAGTATAAAACAGTAACATTAGCGGACCTCACTTTGGCTGAAATGAAATATTTGATCAAAGAATACAAAAAGTTACTGGGCAATGGAGTTTATGGTAAACCCTTTTGATGCGTTTCCCCAAATCCCAAAAACTTCCATTCCCTATATGGACTGAGTTTCAGCTGTTTTCTACTTTGTGGGACATGGCTTCGAGGTCAATGGACAGTGTTATCTTCTTCCTGTAGACGCACCATCTGAAGCACACAAACCGGAGCATTGTCTATCTATGGATTACGTCCTCTATGAGTTCAGTGATCACAACCCAGCCCTCAATCTTCTTCTTTTAGACGTGTGCAGAAAGTTCATTCCGTAAGTTCTGAGTCCTAATCGGATAGCATGTAAAACCTACTTCATATAGTTCAGGTATGAGTTTGTGCCTGCCTTTGTTGACTATGCGGAGCCTTTTAAGATGAAGCACAAACCATCTCGAAACACCGTTTATGGATATTCTACAAGTGGTGGAGTGGGAGCTTATGAAGTATGTCTGTCTTCTTATAAGCCCTTAAACGTTCTGCTGATGTGTAAAATTTTGTTCAGATAAAAGGTGAGATGAATGGTGTTTTCATGAAATACCTCAAACACGCACATATATCAGAAAGGTTTCCGTCATTCAGATGCTGAACGACACTTCACGAGGTTCGTTTATTTCCAACTTTACCACACCGCTTATTCGTTGCTCGAAAGAATCGGGATGGTGTCGCACAGGAATTACCGCAGTGTAGGTCGCAAACAAACCAGATCTAAGCTGATCCCAGATATTGAGAAAGACGAGAAAAGTACTTGATGTGATCGCTGAGAGCGTGCGCGAAGAGACGTTGACTAGACCGCGTTCTCTGACCGATCCGCTAGTCTGGGATGGGCACACGGCATCGTTCGATCATCATACCATTCACTGGAGACTCATGCATGGTAGATCTTGAAGGCAGGTATAAGTAGGTAAATCTTTTTCGAGTGTCTTTAGCTCCTTTTCAGAGCTGCCAAATCCTGTCTATGTACGATTCGAGGAACTGGCGCTTTCTGTTACAATATGGTTCGATTTTTGTGGGCATTTCACGAACAAGGTGAGGAATCAAGCTACTGTATGCTCGTGTTTTCCGGTCTTATTCACTTCTTTGTGAGTTATAAACTTCTGGTAAGTTAAAGGATTTTAGTGGTGTTTGCGAGGAGTGACTTTTCGGGAATTTTTCCACAGTCCGCCAGGAACTCTTATGAGCGGGGCTGTAAAAATGGTGATCATCGAAAGAGGAAATTCGTTTTTCCTGCAGTTATGCCATACGAGAGAAGAGAGAAGCGCGCTATTCGATCTAATTGTTGGAATTAACAACCTTCTCCTGCTACTCGTGGCGCGACGAGCCATCGATTCTGTTGACCGTTCCCCAATACACCTTCGTCAGAAGGATCCCGACCGTAATCAAACTGATCTCCTCAAGAGCGGATTATTTCAGCGGCACAAAGCCGCTTGCTTTTAGTCTTACGATTAGCCAGAAGGAGGACAGCTCCTTAGTGACCAGCTAACAATGAGTGGCTTGTTTCGCTGAATGCTGTGGATGGTGTATCCGTTTCAATAAAGCAATGTCGTTAATTTTTTGCTTTTGTTTTGACGTGAATTTGATTAGAATTTTAGTCATTCATCTGGCGCTGTTCTCGAAGGGCTGGTAAAATTGCGACAGACGCAAACCTACTCAATTATAAAATTCATTTTTCAGTGTTCTGCCTCTGAATTTTCGTGCCCATGCAGGCGTATACTCATGCCATGGGACCGGTTTTTCCTTTTGAAAAAACAAAAGTTGAAAGTTAAATTACCCCGTTCTGGTTTTAGTTCTGCCAGCCGGGTCCCACACCTTTCTCCACAAGTAGCTAAGTTTCCTGGAAAGCTTGAAGGCACACCCTATTATGAGTTTGGGTGGAACAATCCGGTTGTTGGATAGGACAGAGGTGCTCAGTAATGTCGCTGATGTCTCCCTGTCCCAGTTTAGAGTTCCCGCAGCTTGGAACGCTCTTGCCCATCTCATCCGTTTGCACACTCACATATCCTCACTTCTCCTTGCTCACTTCTCTTTGCTGTAGTACAGCCGAATCACAATTTTGTTGTTTCCGATAGACGACACTTTTTCTTCTTCACTAACCTAGGTCCCACTTCGCCATCAACTGTTTTCATTTCATCTGTGCGAAGTACGTCAAGAGATGGGAGGGTGGAGAGTCGATTTCAGCTCCGAAAACAGCGCCGCCCCTCTCTCCTCCCCCACTAATTTTCTCGCCATGCTTCACCTTCGAAGAGGGAGAGGCATGTTCGTACTCGTTTTTTTTTGACATAGCCGTATAGGTTGCTACCTTTCGACCCTTCACTCATCTTTAACCGTAAGTGCTAGAGCTGCTACGTCGCAGATCAACACGCGTAGGCGCGGCTGTTCTTGCTTTGGGCGGGAAGGGTTGCACCGGGAAGTCAATGGTTGCAAGCCCAATGTCTACAGACTATTTGAACTGCCCCAATCGTCTTCAAACCGCCTCAATTTCATGCTCCTGCCTGCGCTCTTCGTATTAACAGCGGCCTATGACTACGGCAATTTCACTTTTAAAATTGCCACATGCTGTAATTGCATCATGCCAATACCGATGCCCTCCCCATCTCAAAGTTTGGTCCTTAGGGCCTCTACCTACCCGTCCTCCAAGTTATTAGGTCGTAAGGAAAGTTCTGGCCGTTTTCGATAATTCAAGCTCCATGGCATTATTTCTGGCTAGGGTTTCGACGGACTGCTACGTGTTACATATCGTTAGGAAGCACGTTTCTTGCTCTATCTAATCGCACTGCAAGCTTTGCTTTAGAGGGACTACTCCCACTTATTCGAAACATTAAATGCAACATGCTCAGTTTCACCTTTGCGAAATTTTGTTGACCATAGTCATGACCGAACAACTCATCCGAAGTTCATGGGTTATTGAGAAGACTCCATTCTACAAGGGGAGTCACGATCCGGACAAAAAACGGGTCGTTTTCGTTGGAGGAAAGCAGATGGTCCCACGGAACCGCGATTTTTCGCAACACCCTCCTTATCGACGTTCCCGTGCTTCTTAAGCTATCCCATGTAACTTGAAACCATAAATTGAATGCGCCCAATTTGGTAGCGGTCTTCTTAATTGTTTGAAGCACATTTGATCCCATCAAAAGTTTCACGTAATTTTTACCGAAGTTCGAAATCCAGCGATCACTATCGCCAATTTCGAGGCTATCGCCATCCCTATACAAGCTTCCAAACTATAACTTCATGGCTTATTTTTTGCAAATGCATGGCCAAACGAATAATTTATATCATAAGCTGATTCCGCTTCTTTCTGCCCTAATTCGAGGTAGAAGAAGAAAATCGTGAGGATTCGCTTGGTGAGCATGCTGCATTCAAGGCTTTCAAAAAGTGGGACCAGTCCCTATTGAGCAAAGCTTACCGCGGATTTGGATAGAGCAAGAAACGCACTTTCTAATGATATGCAACTCGTAGCAGTCTGCCGGAAAGTTTGCCTAGAAATAATGTCATGAAACTTGTACTGTCGAAAACGGCCAGAACTTTCCTTACAACCTAATAGTTTGGATCTGAGCCTAGTGTCGTTCTATTGTTTTTTGTGCTCAGGCCATTCGCGGCAGAGGTCATAAACGAGAGTTCATATAGTCACGAAACCTCCCCGCGCATTTTAAACTTCGAAAATGGCAACCTCTCCACATCGGACCGCTCTCACTTGCGGCATGCTTTCTCAGGAGCTTAATCTTGGGGCTTCCTCCAGGAGGAACTCTGGGGTGGGTGAGCCATTTACAGTGTGGCAAATCTGAATATGTGGGACCGCAGCAGTTACAAGCCACTGTTGAGGCGAGAGAGCGTAGGCGGTAGCACCAAACTTAGGCTGTTCAAGGGGCTGAGTTCAAGTAGTCTGTCGACCACTATAGGGCCACCCAGAGAATTTTGGAAGGTGGAAGCTAAAGGAAAACAGAATATGTAGTTCTATTGGAATGTGGCTGTGGTGTAAGAGTAGGAAGCTTTCAGTAGGAATTCTCAGGCGGAAATTTCAGGAGAAAAACCTGCTATCGTGATTTCCTTTATTTTGTTACATTTTGAACCGTATTTTTAGCGATCAAACATATCTTGATCGTCTAGGTGTACGTATTCTCGTCAGTGAGCGATTTACTGGACGAAGCTTCAGAGGAACTTGATAGGAAGCTGTCTGAAAACGCCCTGTCGCATATCGCTTATCTTTCGTTTCCGCCGGTAATGTTTTTTAGCGGTGATATCAGGACTAGGTGTAGCTCAGTGTGCATTTCGTCATGTCGGAAATTTTCAGCAGCTCGATGCTTCGAAAGAGCGTATTGTTTCCGACGACAATGAGGGAGTTTCGTTGTGTCTCCTCCTTTCTCACCTCCAGCGATCCAAAGTGAGAAACTTTGCTGCCATAAGCACGAGATCAATCCCTTACATATTTATTTATGCATGCCATGTGCATGAAAAGCAGGTTGTGTAATATTTTTTGAAATCTACGTTTTAAGGGTGAGCTGAACTGCAGAATACTTCTGACGAGTGCGGCTGACAAGCAGAAAGTTGTCGCAATACGTGATGTTGTGCTTGGACATGTGCTCATTACAAGAATAGAGATGATCAAATGATGCTTCTAAAGACAATGGTCGTCTTTTTCGAGAACTGACATCAGTGACTTGCCGGCACTGAGTTGAAGCTGCCGACGCTGTTTCTCTTGGTCTCATGAGATGTCCTTCTCCGTGGATTCACTTTGCACTGCGCTGCAAATACATGTATTCAGTGCCTGATGTGGTATGAGAATGGGAAATTTGAGAAATAG